CTCTCTCCTCCTCCTCCTCCTTCCTGCCCGCTCAAACATTAATTAGGACTTGCCTGCATGAACCGTCTCTCTCTCTCTCTCTCTCTCTCTGACTGACTGATCGACTGACTGTCTGATTAATCAACTGACTGACTGACTATAAGATTGATCAACTGACTGACTGAGTGATTTGACTGACTAACCAACTGACTCACTCATCCACTCACCCACTCACTAATGAACTATCTAACTGACTGAATGAATGAATGATTAATTTACTGACCGATTTCTTAACTTCCTAATTGACTGATTAAATGACAGAGAATTACCTCCTACGCTTACACGTGCTCAGGCCGGGGTATTCTCTGCATAGTCTCGGTTCTCTTCTTCACAATCATATAATATCGATAACCAACTCTTGATCGCCTTTGATTTATGAAATGTTACATATACCCCATACGATTTTCTGTCACTGTAATCACTATCATATATATATTTCTTTATATAATTATTAATTTATATTAGTCGCCCATGTTACTATAAATAACACCTTTAGCTCGGTCTCTTGCCTCCCAGGTAGTATGAATCAGGTGTTGTCTGTGAGGCAGTGCGCATCTCATTAATTAAGAGGGATTTACCTCAAGCATCCCACACAGGGGGGAAGATTTCGCCCGAGCTTCTTATTATTCAGGTAGAGAGAAAAGGTTATTACTTGAAGACACTGGTTGGAGGTACACGCGTGGAATATTTCTCGCTGTTTGGGGTCCTCGCTGGCATCATTATGCTCACAAAAGATGTGGATCAAAAAACGCTTTTCTCAAGAGTATTGTGGCCGCGGTGAAGAAAATATGGACGCAAGAGGAAGATTTTCTTGCAGGTGGTGGAGACGTGGTGTTGTGGTTCACTGTAGGTGGTGGAGACGTGGTGTTGTGGTTCACTGTAGGTGGTGGAGACGTGATGCTGTGGTTCACTGTAGGTGGTGGAGACGTGGTGTTATGGTTCACTGTAGGTGGTGGAGACGGGGTGTTGTGGTTCACTGTAGGTGGTGGAGGCGCGGTGTTGTGGTTCACTGTAGGTGGTGGAGACGTGATGCTGTGGTTCACTGTAGGTGGTGGAGACATGATGCTGTGGTTCACTGTAGGTGGTGGAGACGCGGTGTTGTGGTTCACTGTAGGTGGTGGAGACGTGATGCTGTGGTTCACTGTAGGTGGTGGAGACGTGGTGTTATGCTGTAGGTGGTGGAGACGTGACTGCGTGTGGTGGTTCACTGTAGGTGGTGGAGACGTGATGACTGTAGGTGGTGGAGACATGATGCTGTGGTTCACTGTAGGTGGTGGAGACGTGATGCTGTGGTTCACTGTAGGTAGTAAGCATCATCACCTTTTTCCAGCACTAATTCTCACACTTCGTCGTACAACTCAGTTCCCCTCACAGTCTCGTTTATACAGCAGTCCTTACTGCTCTAACACAGTGGCAGTTCAGGCCAACATCAGAGGTCTAATGTAACACCAACATGGAAACATTTTCTACTTCATTATAATTCAGTTCGTACTCATTAAATCAGTAGGGTTTTTTTATTCAGGAATTCTGTGACACAAATTCTGAATAATTCTCGTGTTAGTTTCGTCATCAACTGAGAGTTTATACAGTATACGTAAAATTTTCAACACTGATGCCTCCCTCATGCCCTCCGAAAAAACAATAAAACTCCTAGCCAGCTTTTTTATAATCTACCCAAATTTGGATGGAGTTTCACTAAGATTTATTTTTAACATCTTTACACTTGTTTTTCCTTACGCTAATTTCTAGTTTCTATCGCCTGTCCTCTCTCCACGGTGGAAAGTTGCTCGTCAACGCTAATAATCGGAAACAACACGGAGAAGTTTGAAGGAACCCCGTAATTAAAACAAGGGAGGGAGGGAGTTTGCTAACTTTGCGCTTGTCAAGACTGTCTTCCCCTGTTTAATAGCACAGTCTGGTGAATATCTTTATCAAGAACTAAGGCGGGACAAACTCGCTTGATAAAATTCCCTTGGGTATTTTTAACCAATACTGTTTTTTCCCTGGATGCTTTACTTGTGTCGGATGGCTATCTTACATAGTATAAAAGCGCAAAATTAATTCCACGAGAGGCGAGGAATTATCCCATAAAGATAGAGGGTCTTACACGACAGGGACTAAGGAATTACTGAGGATTTATCAGACTTAGCGCCCAACATTCTTAACAGCCAAGACTGATGATTCGTGAGGATTGAGATTTAAGTTACACGACAAAATAGACTCGGGAATATTCATTAAATTTTACACACACACACACACACACACACACACAGCACCTAAATACCCACACTGCCTCAACATCATGACGACGCAAAGTATAAGCTCGTAACATAAATTTCAGCGTTGCAAGTTCAAACAGCAGAGTAAAATAACCACAAAATCTAAGAGATGTCTCACAGCACCAGAGGAAAACAACAGAAATTACTGTCATACACACCCTGAAAGATAAAGATGACAACCCTTAATGGCGTCTAGAGTGTATCGAGACTTGACGACATAAACTATTGCTTCTCTACCTCACCTCACCTCACCTCACCTCACCTGTAATCACTAATATGACTTTTATTGCATTGATAAGGTTTTTTTTTTAGTTTCACCTGTCAATACACAGCCCCAAACTACCTACTGGTAACAAGGTAATCCGAATACTGATTGTTTTGTAGTCTAAATAACACAAGTGATAAATATCCGCCGTTAGGGTACACTTGCAAGGTCATTTTGGCTGATGTCTTTCTAATAAACTTCACGTGAAGGTTACACACGTTCTCACTTTACAAATGGAGTTAAAATTAAGGCCATTTGTGATATATCTGCACAGCGGTGGAGGTTCACACACACCCACGCGCGCTAATGAAGGCTCACATACATCAGCCTCAGACGACACACACTTCTCGCGCAGGTGGTCAGATGCTCTTGCATGCTCATGAAAAAATAATAATATTTCAAAGGCTGGAATTTCTTAATACTCAAAGTCGAAGGTAAAGAGAAAGGAAATGTTTACGTCACCACATTATCTTTCCCAGGAGTGTGTCGTGAGGAGATGGAGAAGTCCTTCAAAGTTGAAACTTCTTCAAAGGACTTTAAGATCAGTTTACCTGTGATGAAAACTTGCGATGGGGTAAATAACAGTACTTTTAGTAAGGAAAGTGAAAACAGCACCGAGTCGCATTTGAACTTTTGTTGACGATGGAATGTTCCGAACTGTGAGAATGTTCCTGACTGACTTTGAGAATGTTCCTGGATGAGAGAATGTTCCTGACTGTGGAACTGTTCCTGGATGAGAGAATCTGTGAGAATGTTCCTGGATGTAAGAAAATGTTCCTGGCTGAGAATGTTCTTGACTGACTCTGAAAATAATCCTGACTGTGAGAATGTTCCTGACTGGGATGAAAATCGTCATAAGATTTCTCAAGAGTCTCCACATATTTGGACTTTATTACAACCTGCACCATGTCCCTCCGGTCTTGTTCAATAATATATTACTTTTTCCCTGTTGCAGGTGTAACACGAGGCCCTGAAGAAGCAACTATACCTGTGTTCGTAGGGCAGAGGGAGAGATTGTATACACGCTGCTTGTCGTATGAAAGCACTTGACTGAAATAGCTCAGGATATACTCAGCTGTTAATGTCACCTGCAGGGCGTAACAGAGGAGCTGTGTTGTGTTGACCCGCACGCCATGACTGTGTTGCCCTCCTCCCGCAGCCGAGAGAGAACACACCCTCAGGTTTAAAAAGAAACGCTCAATTTAAGGTCAGTGTTTTTCATCTCGGTGCGGTGGAAAACTACTTTTCTTATCTGCGTCAGCTTGCTGTATGAATACCAAGTCAGACCTGACTGATTGGCTGACTGACTGATTGAGTCTTTGTTGAGTGGCAACGGGTGTGAAAGTGGCATAGGTGAAGTGATAGTGGGCTGACACACAAACACATACGACAACATGGAGAAACTAAATGTGTGTGTGTGTGTGTGTGTTACAATCTCTAAGACCAAACATGGGTGGCGATGTGAAGGTAACTGTAATCTCTCTCTCACACACACACACACACACACACACACACACACACAAAACAAGCAGAAGGAACAATCAAGGGTGGTGGTGCGGGAGTGTGTGTACAAGCTGGGTTATCCGTCATGCTGCCACTCTCCTGCCCCAACCAATCACCGCCTCCTGCCTCTCTCCCTGGTTCATTTGGCGCTGACCATCACAAACACACACACACTAAACCAACCATCATCACCAACACACACACTAAACCGACCATCACTACCAACACACACACGCTAAACCAACCATCGCCAACACACACGCTAAACCAACCATCACCAACACACATTAAGTCCTTGCCTACTTGCTTGCTTGCTTGCTTCCATCAGACCAGTCCAATAAGCGCACAGTCCCTCTAAGTCAGCACTCTGAACTTCCCATGATGAAGGCGACTCATATAACCCAAACACACATTACCAAACACCAAAGACTAGACCTCTATATGAAAACCTCCCAAAAAGTATCGTTATAGAGGGGTCCGATAATTTTCAAAATGAACACTGTAACTCCTGCTGTCTCGGTAGGGTTGTCATAATCCTTCATCCATTGTGTCATATCGTCTAGCACAAAATCGTAAAGATACATTTTGTAATGAATGTTTACATGCTAATATTTTTCTTCCGTTTGTGAAATAAAGTTGTAATGAGTCGGTAAATCACATGAAAGATGTTTTAAAGTCGTATTAAATCATCCATCACGATAGACAGAGAGAAGAATGAGCCATAAACAAACTGATTTTCCATTTAACGTTTCGTATACACATGACAAAGAGCCACAGTAAGTCATGGCAGATGATTTGCAGTTAGTGATGGTGTGTCAGCTGCAGGTGTGGATGAAGGAAAGGGGGGAGGTGACAGGAGAGTGATTTAAGCTATTGCAGGTGAACGATCGTCTGGCGGAAGTATTTTTACTCACCTTACCGTAGGGTGTGAGGCCTCGAGTGTTGGGCGGCGGAAGACCTTGTTCAGAACACTCCGCCCTGAAGGAGGAGGACACAGGTGTTAGTTATGTATATGTATACTAGAGAGAGAGAGAGAGAGAGAGAGAGAGAGAGTTATCTATTCTAGAGTAAACCTTTTAACTGTAAACACCTCAGAAGGTTGGTTAGCGTTACCAGGGTGTGCTAGGGTGACTTACCAGGGTGTGTGGCACTTGTGTGTGAGGGTCACGTAGCGGACGCCCAGGTCATACAATGATCTTACAACGCCCATGCTGCTGGCCAGCCCATGGCCGCCCTCCACGCCCATCAGGCTGCCCACACGCCCACGCTCGAACTCCTCCATGATTTCTGAGGGCATAGAGAAGCTCGTGTCAGGGTACCATGAGAGAGGACAGTATCAGTGTACCATGAGAGGACAATAACAGGGTACCATGAGAGAGGACAGTGTCAGGGTACCATGAGAGGACAGTGTCAGGGTACCATGAGAGAGGACAGTATCAGGGTACCATGAGAGGACAATAACAGGGTACCATGAGAGAGGGCAGTGTCAGGGTACCATGAGAGAGGACAGTGTCAGGGTACCATGAGAGGACAGTAACAGGGTACCATGAAAGGACAGTAACAGGGTACCATGAAAGGACAGTAACAGGGTACCATGAGAGAGGACAGTGTCAGGGTACCATGAGAGAGGACAGTAACAGGGTACCATGAAAGGACAGTAACAGGGTACCATGAGAGAGACAGTGTCAGGGTACCATGAGAGGACAGTAACAGGGTACCATGAAAGGACAGTAACAGGGTACCAGGGGTGAGAGAGGACAGTGTCAGGGGTACCATGAGAGAGGACAGTGTCAGGGTACCATGAGAGGACAGTGTCAGGGCACCATGAGAGAGGACAGTAACAGGGTACCATGAAAGGACAGTAACAGGGTACCATCAGTGTCAGGGGTACCATGAGAGGACAGTGTCAGGGTACCATGAGAGGACAGTGGGTACCATGAGAGGACAGTAACAGGGTACATGAAAGACAGTAACAGGGTACCATGAGAGAGGACAGTGTCAGGTGAGAGGACAGTGTCAGGGTACCATGAGGACCATGAGAGGACAGTGTACCATGAGAGGACAGGGTACCATGAGAGGACAGTGTCAGGGTACCATACAGAGTACCATGAGGACAGTGTCAGGGTACCATGAGGGTGAGAGGACAGTGTCAGGGAGAGGACAGTGTCAGGGTACCATGAGAGGACAGTGTCAGGGGTACATGAGGACAGTGTCAGGGTACAGAGGACAGTGTCAGGTACCATGAGAGGACAGTGTCAGGGTACCATGAAAGGACAGTAACAGGGTACCATGAGAGAGGACAGTGTCAGGGTACCATGTCATGGGACATGAGAGAGGACAGTGTCAGGGTACCATGAAAGGACAGTAACACAGGAGGACAGTGTCAGGGTGACAGTGTGTACCATGAAAGGACAGTGTCAGGGTGAAAGGACAGTAACAGGGTACCATGAGAGAGAACAGTATCAGGGTGCAGGACAGTAACAGGGTACCATGAGAGAGGACAGTGTCAGGGTACCATGAAAGGACAGTAACAGGGTACCATGAGAGAGAACAGTATCAGGGTGCCATGAGAGGACAATAACAGGGTACCAGAGAGAGGACAGTGTGCCATGAGAGAGGGACAGTAACAGGGTACCAGTGTGCATGAGAGGACAGTGTCAGGGTACCATGAGGACAGTAACAGGGTACCATGAGAGGACAGTAACAGGGTGCCATGAGAGGACAGTAACAGGGTACCATGAGAAGGACAGTCAGGGTACCATGAGAGGACAGTGTCAGAGTATCATGAGAGGACAGTGTCAGGGTACCATGAGAGGACAGTAACAGGGTACAATGAGAGGACAGTGTCAGGGTACCATGAGAGAGGACAGTGTCAGGGTACCATGAGAGAGAACAGTGTCAGGGTACCATGAGAGAGGACAGTAACAGGGTACCAAGAGAGGACAGTGTCAGGGTACCAGGAGAGGGAGTGTCAGGGTACCATGAGAGGACAGTAACAGGGTACCATGAGAGGACAGCCATGAGAGAGACAGTATCAGTGTACCATGAGAGGACAATAACAGGGTACCATGAGAGAGGACAGTGTCAGGGTACCATGAGAGGACAGTGTCAGGGTACCATGAGAGAGGACAGTATCAGGGTACCATGAGAGGACAATAACAGGGTACCATGAGAGAGGGCAGTGTCAGGGTACCATAAATTTAAAAGAAGCTGAATAAAGACATACCCAGTTGATGGTTCATTTTCCTCTTGGTAGCAATGCTTAAAAAAAATTGCTCGGCCTATGTAGACCAAAGAGTTATATAAGAAATAGTACAGTTGACTCTAACTATATGTACTTCATAAAGGCAGTGAACAAAACAATTAAAAATAACTTGATTTAACAGTGTAATTATCGATGACTCAGAGTAATTAGTGTTAAAATCCTATAGTTGATCTAACAGTTTTAAGTTACTCCTAACTAGCTATTATTTATAATTTATATTTATGTTCCTGGAGTTCTCATTATCTGATTCTTTAATATCCTAAGTTGTAGACCATGGCAGCCACCCCGTTATGGCCACTGTCATCATCACAATCACAACTTTTGCTCGTAACCTCGCCTTCTCGGGAAACAAGTTTTAAATCTACATAAAACATACACAGGAGTCTCATATCGCCTGCCACCTGTGTGTGTGTGTGTGTGTGTGTGACTAATGTACTCGTGTTCTCCATCTTCCTTGTGTTCTGTTTTATTCATTTTCTCCCCACCTATTCCATCCACATTTTCTCCCCACCTATTCCATCCATATTTCCTCCCCACCGTCCCTCACCCCTCACTTCACATCTCCCCATTCTCACCACTACCACTATATCTCTACCTACATCCTGACCTCCATCTCATAATTCTACCACACTCACCACTATTACTCACCTCCTCACCAAGTTGTAGGAGTGAGAGGGGGGAGGTGTGTGGTAGGGGTGATGGTGGGGAGGTGTGTGGTAGGGGTGAAGGTGGGGAGGTGTGTGGTAGGGGTGAGGTGTGTGGTAGGGGTGAGAGGAAGGTGTGCATCTTCTTTCGGTAATAAATGAAGAAAACTATAAAGTACCTTTAAGTAAACATCAACACCTGAACAAAGAACAAAAAGGCATAACACGTTACCAGTGAGCCCTACAAGCAAAGGAACCCCTTCAGGATCATTAGAAGCTTCCCCTCTCCTGAAGTCTCCCCCTCACCTGAAGTCTCCCCCTCCCCTGAAGTCTCCCCCTCACCTGAAGTCTCCCCTTCACCTGAAGTCTCCCTCCTGAAGTCTCCCCCTCACTGAAGTCTGAAGTCTCCCCCTCACCTGAAGTCTCCCCTCACCTGAAGTCTCCCCTCACCTGAAGTCTCCCCCTCCGTGAAGTCTCCCCTCCTGAAGTCTCCCCCTCACCTGAAGTCTCCCCTCACCTGAAGTCTCCCCTCACCTGAAGTCTCCCCCTCACTTGAAGTCTCCCTCTCACCTGCAGAGGATGTGACCAGCACGGTGTGGTCGGGGCTGGCAGCGATCATTCTCTTCACAACGTCGATCTGTTCCAACAACAGCTGTACCGTGTTGAGGTACTGTGACTCACACGGTACGTACACCGACCAGAACTGTGGGAGAGACGGTACACGGGGATTAGTGCGAGAGAGACGGTACACGAGGATCAGTGCGAGAGAGACGGTACACGAGCATTAGTGCAATGGTATAGTACACGGGGATTAGTGCGAGCATGCTAACCATTACACCACAGGTCCCCCCCACACACACATAATTTGCATGATTGATGGAGATTTTCCTCGACGAAACCTGGCCAAAGCGTAAAAAGAGAGGAGTAGTATTAAAAGAAGCACTTTGAAGGATGCGTCAGTCCTCACACACAAGAAGCTGTCACTCAGTGCACGGCTGACAGTAGTAAAACAACTACAAAACAAGGACTGGTGGAGTAAACAACGATGAGAATCATGCAGGAACGGAACGACAACTTACCATGTATCAAGACAAATCACAAAAACACAACAGTTTTAGAATACACGTTATGAGAATACTGAAGGAGAAGACACAGGGAGCGAGAGGCTGTAGGGGGAGATAACATGAAGCATATCAACAGTCTACATCAGTGACAGGAAGCAACAGAAGTGATGTAGTGCCGCTGAGTGCCACCCCAGGACAGAGAGGAATGGAGAGCCATGATCAGAGTGTGTAACAGACACGGCACTTAGAGGGAGAAAAGTGGGTGAGTCAGTAGTGAGGATGATCGTATCTACAACTGACTCATTCTGTGGAAAGTGTTCCATTATGGCGGAGAGAAAGAGAGAGACGCAACCCTCACTCTCACCTTTGTGTATTGTAACCAAAACAAATATTTTACTCAACAAATAGTTGTAATATATCATTTAATTTCATGTAATATATATCTATATATGACTGATCATTACACTAAAAGTAAAATATCAATAACTTTCATTATTTTTTATGGATGATAATTATCTAATAAACAATAATATTTGATTGAACCAACATGAGGTACACACAGGGTGATTTATCCTGTAAATGTTAAAGTTTTTATGGAATAATTAAAGGCATAAACTGTATAGTGAAATTGAAAGTGTGTCACATAGTGTATGACTCCCCGTTAGGGACTGTGGATACAACACACTGTATACGAGGCCTTCGGTACGCAAGAGAACAGCCTGATCAACACCATACTCGACCACCATCACTTCCCATCTTGTGAAGTTAGGTCCCCATTTGCCCCGGGATAGAACCGGCGTCCCTCAAGACTGTACAGTGGAATTATGAAATGTACAGTTGAAGTTAATACCTTTACTCTGGCACAGCTGACGCTCTAGCACCACTGACACTCACACTGGCACTGCTGACACTCACTCTGGCACTGCTGACACTCACTCTGGCACTGCTGACACTCACTCTGGCACTGCTGACACTCACTCTGGCACTGCTGACACTCACTCTGGCACCGCTGACACTCACTCTGGCACTGCTGACACTCACTCTGGCACTGCTGACACTCACTCTGGCACTGCTGACACTCACTCTGGCACTGCTGATACTCACACTGGCACCATTGACACTCACACTGGCACTGCTAACACTCACTCTGGCACAGTTGTTATATATTCTGACGAGTCATTGCGTTTGTAATTCTATTAATTCATCCTGTTAAAATCCTCTCCCTGAAATTATTGATCTGCCATTAACAAGAAGTTGGTACTTAATATTTAAAGGTGTTAGGACCTGAAGGAGATTTTAATCGTTACTTTCTATGAATTATATCAGTGTAAGTTATAAGATTTTTTTTTATTTATACATTCAGCAGTATGAGTGTTGAGGGAGGTTATCTACAATTATAATCTGGAAACACTACCTACCTAACACAGAACCACAGAGACCCTTAGCATCATTTAACCTAGGACAAGTTTCCTTCAACAGGTTATCGATTACGACCAAGGATTCCTTACTAAGGCATCATCTCTAATGTAGCCTGAGATGGTGCCAATCTGTTAAGGAGTTCTGATCATAAAGATATAATGGAACAAAGCACCGGAGCCACACCTAAAATAAACACCATTAAACATAAGCAAAGGTAATTAAGGTTAAGTTATATAATGTGCGGGATTTAATGATATATATAATTAATTTTATTATTCTTATCGTTTATTCTCGTGCGAAGGTAATATTTCAAATTATCAAAATACGTTAGGTGTGGATTACGTAACAAAGAACAGAAGAATATTGTTGCTGGTGTTTCTGTCACGTGTGTAAGACTGTGTTGCTGGCAAAGTTACACAATATGACACACTTCCAGCTTAATATACAAGCAGATTTTATTCTGTTTGGAATGTACACCACTTAATTACCTCGTTAAGGGCCTTTAAATTGTTACAGTTTCACTTCGATAATGAGTCAGATAATACGTGTTGTAACTTTATAAAGCAAAGTATAACATATGTTGTGTTCGCTCACGGCCGTAGCATCACATCCCCATCACGTTCCTGGGATATAATGGAATCTTGCGAGCCGCTGCCTCCGTGGTCTACCTCCTGTGAACGTAATAATTCTTGAGTGGATACACAGATTATTTTAGAACCTGGCAGATATATTGGTGTCTTTAAGAGCTCACACGAATTAATAGGTGTGAACCCATTATTTTAGCTAAGGGAGCTTCAGGGAATATGTCGGATGATCCAATTTACACTAACATGTACACATCAGAGAGCTCAGGGCCTTCAAACCCAGCCAGCTTGAGGTCCTAATTGAAAATCACCTCAGGCAACTGAGATAATAGACAGGTCGACTGGAAATTGTAAATTCTGATATTATATAATACTCTTCTGCTTAATTCGCCTGAGGTCAGTGCCTAGGACTATGAACTATACAGTATATATATATATATATATATATATATATATATATATATATATATATATATATATATATATATATATATATATATATATATATATATATATATATATAGTTTATTATCTATTTAGGTAATTATTTTTATTTATTGTTGGTTTAGTTTCAACTCTTCACTATCAGTAGAGGACTACAAAACAACACGGAAACATATCGTCAAGGTCAGGGAAGGCAACACACTGGCGGCTGTTACGGCTCAACACTTACTGTGTTAAACACTAAACAGCCACAACACTATGAATAAAAACACAATGTTAAAGGTACAGTATTATAGGTGGGTTGTGTTGCTGGAAAGGAGCGCAGACAACAGGGTAACTATATAATATATAATTGACGAGCTGTAGCTAATGTGTAGGGTCACACTTACCTGATGTTTACTGACGTTGTATAATTCACGGTAAGGCTGCTCCTTGCCTAGGGGGTACGGCACTGGTGTCACCCTGCAGTCTCTCTCTCTCTCTCTCTTATACAGATTGAAGCACATATTCACACCCACCAACTCCCCCCACCCCCCACACACATCACAACCCCATCCACGTGCTGATCGCTATAATAAACATCTCCATTCCAGCCATAGTAAAAATCATCAACAACTCATACATATCGTGTGTTCACTCCTAGCCAAAACTGGCAGGTGGTGGCAGGGGACAACACAGGCAGGTGGTGGCAGGGGACAGCATAGGCAGGTAGCGTCACCACCAACAAGGCAGCTTTATATACATAGGTCGTGTTGACACCACCAGCACCGCACCCTGGAGGATACTCTCCTTCTCCATTCTCCCTAACCCCCAAAGTCCTCTCTCTACCCTTCTCCCTCACCCTCTTTCCCGTTCACCCTTCCCCCTCACCCTCTTCCCCGTCTACCCTTCCCCCTCACCCTCTCCTCTCTCCACCCTTCTCCCTCACCCCTACACTCCTCTCTCACTCTCTCTAATTAATCATTTACTCTCTCTGTTCAAGTTGTCTCTCCTTCATTTTGTCCATTTCTCTCCTCCTCATTCTCATATTTTTTCCCCAGAGAAACTATGCTAAATACGCAGTTGTCAGGTGTCTGGTCGTCTTGCGCTCTTGTTGGCGCCGTAAAAGAGCCGAGAACGGGTGAACCTTCGCCTGACGTATCATCCATTAGCGAGTCATTACAGGATGGAGGGGAATGCCAGGTACAGTTTTTAGCCTAAGTTGGTGCAGTGTCTATGAAGAAGGTGTCTATTATTTAATTCGTGTGAGCTCTTAAGGACACCAATATATCTGCCAAGTTCTAAAATAATCTGTGTATCCACTCAAGAATTATTACGTTCGCAGGAGGTAGACCACGGAGGCAGCGGCTCGCAAGATTCCATTATATCCCAGGAACGTGATGGGGATGTGATGCTACGGCCGTGAGCGAACACAACATATGTTATACTTTGCTTTATAAAGTTACAACACGTATTATCTGACTCATTATTTATCGAAGTAAAACTGTAACAATGTAAAGGCCCTTAACGAGGTAATTAAGTGGTGTACATTGTAAACAAAATAGAATATGTTTGTGTATTAAGCTGGAAGTGTGTCATATTGTGTAACTTTTCCAGTTACACACACACACACACACACACACACACACACACACACACACACACACACACACACACACACACACACACATACACACACATATAACATTACAACTTTAGACTACCATAAGCCTTCTCGGGACTATTTACACAAACTTACCAAATTTCAGTTCTCTATAGTAAAAATAATGACCGTGCGTAGCATAGAAGCAGATTTTGTTTTCACCTTCACATTTCTGGAGTGAATACGCATTTCCATACCAAGTCAGCCGTGTATAGCGAACAATCAGACATACATATATACAGTACATACATTATTACATATAAATATATAGATAGATAGATTACCATTCATAGAACTTAATGAGCATTACTAATATGTTGTATTCAGTGTAATGAGTATTGTTTCAGTCATATAAATAGAGATGAAGTATATAAAATTAAATTATACATTACAGCTTTTATTTGTACTGTGAGTTATTTGTTTTGGCCATGATATAGTGAGCGCTGTGTCTCTGTTGCTTCACTCTACAGTTCGCCATTAGGGAACATTTTCCAACAGAATGAGTTAAGTTATCCTCACTGACAACTAAACCACTTATTTCTCTCTAAAG